CAATAGTCTCAATATTCCCGATATTCTGTTATCTACGGTTTCCTTCTCTTACTGTTGCAGAAAGACAAAATTCAGATTGTAGGGAAGAATTGTTTGTTATCAACCAAGGAGTGCCTACTAGGATATAATGTACTCTAATCAAACATATATGACATCTTTGGATATACAAAACATGCCTGACTAAGCATATCAATTAACAACGATGATGTTCAAGATTAATAAGATCAATTGATCAGCCTTTGGGCCATCGATAGCAATTTTATAATCTATGAACGTCAATATACTCTTGAGAACAATAATAATAATGTCATCTTTATGTATAAGCCTCAAACTAACAAGAGTAATTGATAAATTAATTTGTGTAATTTAGTGTTTGCAATATGATAAGGTTTGGCCACTTTGATGATTAACAAACAATATTAGTCGAACATTAATTACATAAACAAAATACGAAAAGTAAGTAATTAAACTATACATAATCTAATTTAATCTATAAATCAAAATCAAAATCAAAATCTTAAAATAGTATATGTCATTAGCCAAAGCAGTCAAATAATCTATATCACTTCCTATAAATCTTCTAGTCATTACAGTAATACATAAGAATCTCAGAATTCTCACGTATAAAATTATAAACAAAAAACCATTACAATAATTCCAAAATTTTTAGGCAATGAAGTACTCCATTAATTAATTTGCGTAAATCACGCGATACCCCTTTTTATTTTAAAAGCAGAACCCAATTGTAACATGGTATTGATCTTTTCTCAAACCAATGATAATTCAACAGGCAAAAGTTAAGTACAGCATCTTTTGTGCAAATTCATCAAGCTTCATATGGAAATCTCATCATTGTCAGTAGCATTTGGGTTCCAATCCCTTTTAATGGATTAAGTCAATTCTTATAATTTAAGGCGACCAATTTGCAATTTTCATGAAGTAGGAAAAAAAATGCAGCCGTGAATTTTAACAATAGTTAATTTCATTAACTTCGACAAAAATCTTAATCCATAAATCTATAGAAGGCAAGCAAGGATCGACAAACAAATAACATTTAATCTTTAAAGGAAAATCAAGAATTCTCTAACTTGGCTCTGATACCACATGTAAACAATTAAACCATAATATCAAGATCTTTAAAATTCTATGATTTTGACATATAATTAAATTTGTTAAGAAACATATCTTGATTCATAACAATTAATTGAAAGATATGAATATGCAAAATAGAAACAAGATAAACAAAGAAAATGTCCTCCCTCTTTTCTTTTCTATAATTAAACGCTTTAATTTAATGAGTTTCATTCACGTTTATAGGCAGAGAGAAACAGTTTTATAGACCATAAAAAAATTATCCGCTTTCCATTGAAGTGGACAGTAATAAAACTACTTCTCAATGGGCCAATAAGATTTTTGCAATAATAAACCACTTTAATAAAGTGGAAATTACAAATTCTAATACATTTAGAGATCCCATTTCATAAATCATAGAATGAGTTTACTATTTCTAAAATCCGATTTTTTTAATTAATTAATTAATTTGAAATATAAATAATTGTATTACAAAATTAAATACACACTCATCCCAAATCCTAAAATTCAATTATCACTCTCTCTCTCTCTCTCTCTCTCTCTCTCTCTCTCTCTCTGTTCTAGCGTCCCAACCCTCCCCACACTAGCTTCGACCCACCTCATTTGACGGCGACAAGCTGCAGCACGTAGAGAGGTGACGAGCGGAGCCTAACAACGAAGATCCTTTATGGTGTTGGTATTCGGCACGGTGTCCACCAGACCACCACCGCCGTAGCGGGGTGGTGTCGTTCTGAAACCGCACTAGGAACCAGTAGCAAGAGATAATCCTTCTTTCAATTTCAAAGGAATTGAGGATTTTGGATTCAGATCTGATGTTGATAAGAAATGGATGGAGCTTAAGGTGGATTGAGAATTGGAAATACTTGTGATTCAGGAAGATTTTTTATGCCTTCAATTTGAAATCAAAATTTTTGGCCTTGATTCGACCGTGTAGGACGGGGCAGTGGTATGTGTGTGGTGTGGGGGTGTGTGTGAACTGTACATGAAGGGGCGCAGTGTGCTGTGTGTGATTGTGGCAGCAGCATGGTGATGACATTGTTGTGAAGTGATAAGGGTGGGGGTTATTTCGTGGTGGTGGATCTAGAGATGACGACAATGGTGGTGTTGCTGGAGTAATCAGTTTCAGCGCCACTGTGTATTGGTCACAGATGCGACGCTCGTCGCAGTGATGGTGGCTTTACTGTTGGTGTTGTAGTGATGGTAATATCAACGGTGGTGATGGTGGCCGGTGTCGTTGGTGGTTGTTGGCAGTAATACAGTGCTTTGGAGTGGTGGGATGGGGCGTGAGTGTTGTTGGTGTTATAGTAGTGGTGATGTCGACGGTAGTGGCATTGGGCAACATCGCTGGTAGTGGTTGGCGGTAGTGCGGTGCTTTGGAGTGGTGGGATGGGAGTGTAGGTGTGTGTGACGATTTTATTAGTTGATTAAAAGTTGTGACCAATAAATTGGTTAATTTGTGATCAATGTGGTGGTGGTTTTTGCAGTGACGATGGTGGTGGTGCTATTGGAGGCAGCGTTAAAGTGGTGGTGGGAAGTGTTGGTGATGGTCACAGATTATTCGGTTAATTGTGACCAGTGAATTGGTTGATCTGTGATCAATAAACAATATGCGACCAATAAAAAAGTTAAATTGTGATCAAGAAATAATGTGTGACCTAAAATATTAATAATTTGTGACTGTTTAATAAGTTGTGACATATAATATTTGTGATTTGTGGCGTATAAATTTTTTTATTTGTGACTGAAAAATAATACGTGACCTTTAAAATTTTTGATTTGTGATCGAAAAATAAGTCGTGACCAATAATTTGATAAATTGTGACTAAAAATTAATCTATGACTAATTCATTTTTTGATTTGTGACAGATGAACAAACTGTGACCTACAAAATTTTTGAATTGTAATATAAAATTTCTGATTTGTGACAAAAAAAATAAGTGACTAATTAAATTGTTAATTTGTGACCAAATTGTATAGATATGTGACCTAAATATATTTAATTAATAAAATAATTAATTAATTAATTAATAAAATCATAAATATATTTTAATACAAATCTGATTTTTGAAGTTCAAAACTTGTTTTCTTAATTTTGAAATCTACCATACTTAATCTCTTACTTATAAAATTTTCCATTTAATAAATTTATTAATAAAATTACTTGGGCCACATTAATTGGTCTTATAAGTACACATCAGTGATCAACACTACCCATGATTAAGGAAAAAGTTGTAGAAAAATTAGATTTTGATAAAAGTTGATAAAATGTGTGATTGACAAAACGATCAATGCTATAAGTCTCGTGAAATGTGTGGTTAAAATTGAAGTTTAATCAATTAAAAAGTTGACAATCTTAAAACAAAGTATGATCAAACAAGCACTTAAGTTGTAAACTCTGGCAATTTTTTATACAAGTTATTCTTCCTAGTCACTACAGTGTGACAAAAAACTATGATGCAACTTCAACCTTGCTTGTTAGTAGTTTCTCGAAAATGTTTGAGTCGAAATATGAATGTCTATATTTAGTATGAAATATTCGATAATATTGTATTGCAAAATTAATAAAATATAAAACTTATTTTTATGCATGGATCAAGTCAAATGTTATTCAATATGACATATTAAACATATTAATGGACTTCTATTTTATGTTGGAGGGGTTGTGTCTTCAACACATGTTTGACACTTCTATACATCAATAAGCATATAATAGAACATAAGTTGCTTTCCAAAGTATTATCAGAAAATACTCACTAAAAGTTGGCCAAGTCCGAAGTGAGCCATAAGTAATTAAGGTTTTTTTTTTTTTTTTAACAAATTATGAGAATCGTCAAAAATGAAAATCCATATAAATTTCTTTTCCCGAATTTTGTCATAGAATTATTTCCTTCAAAAAATGATTTTTATGCGCTGTTGTACAAGGTAGACGATGGCATAATTTTTTAGGGATATTTTAGGCTTATTTATTGTATGTGAACTATATATTAAGATTAAAATTTGTTTAAATTCTTTTGTGGGAATTTTTTCAAATGAAATTATTCCTCCAAAGTTATTTTTAATTTGATTTGCAGTATGATAATGGATCCTTGTGATTCTCCACTAATGTAAATATGTAATACCCCACGTGATATTTTGAAATGAAAATTTATTTAAATTAAAACAAACCTATTCTAAACACCTCTTTAGTATATTTTGCCTATAAATAGTTGGGTAGGGAATACAGTAGGGTGGACCTCTTTTCAATTTCTTTAATTTGTTGTCCTTTTATTTTAATTATTTTTTCATTGAAAGATTTAATTTCTAAAAGTCAATCAAAACATTGACTCGAAAAACACAAAGAGTTGGATTCCTGATTTAACCAAAAAAAAAAAAAATCTTTATCAAATTATCTAGAAATGAAATAATATAACGATTTTAATTCATCCGAATTTTAGGTAAATTGACCACTTTCTAGGCTATTTATGGGTCTGTTTGAGCTACATTATTCCAAAAAAAATATTCTCAAACAGTGATTTGATATCATTTCAACAACACATTCTTCAATTAAATAATATTACACGTAGATCAAAAAAATTTTATTATTTTTTAACCACACATTTTTCATTTATACACTATTCAAGAATGCATTATTATCAAAATAATTGATTTGGATTTTGATTTGAATCTTGACTTTTCTTTGGAGTAGATCACTCCAGTTCAATTCTTATAATATTGTAAAGTATTTACTTTTTAAAGATTAGTTAAAATATATAAAATCTCTTTACGAGTTCACTATTTTATAAAATTAAGAAGACATTGATACGTCAAGAGATGAAAAGTAGCTGTGCATTTTTATTTTAGAGATAAAACAAAGTTACGTGAAAAATAATAATAAATAATAAATCGAGTAGATTAGATAATAGAGGAAAGGGTACAAAATTTTTGGGATTTCCAAAGAAACACAAATGCGCCTCCTCCTGCTACAATCTACGTCATTTCTTCTTCGAATCTTTGGCCTCACTTGATATGCCTCACCCACTGAAACAAATGTGAAACCCTTTTTCTTGTGAAAAAGTGAACATTTATTGGTCGGGCCGATTCTTTACAATTACTTTTTCACTTATAGGATTTATATTATAGTGCTTCTACTATAGATTTCTTGGTTTGGTAGATTTTGGTGGAAGAACCCAAGAATTGGAGGTATATTTGGAAATGGGTTCTTTTTGTTGATGGATTTTGCAGCCCAGAGATTTCTGTTCAATGGATATGCATTTGGTTTTCTTGATGTTTTCTGTAGTTCATCTGAATGTTTAAAAGTTTTGACAAAGTCTTCATTCTGGGTTCTGACTTTGATACTGATATAAGGCTACTTTTGTTTTTAAGGGATTCTAAATTTTTTATCTGTTTGATTGGTTGAGGTTAATGGTTTTAAGAAATTGTGTAGTTGACAATTATTTTATCAGAGGAGGTGGTTTCAATTTTTTTATTTTTAATTTGAAAGCTGAGGTATTGTTTCTTGATATAGACAGTATGAGCGATCATTGAGATCCCGACTTCACCTTGACGGTTATGCTACGATGCCCTTATATTGACTGCAATTGGGATTGTTATGTGAAGGATAGGAAAAAAGAGCATACATTTTGGTGATTTCTCGTTCTTACATATTACTTTCTTTTTCTCCAATTTATCTGCATCTTTTCCCAGACATTGGTTTTAGTGGTTGTGTTTCTCGATTGCGCCGATAAATTGAAATTCCTTTGAACATCTAAAATTATAAGATACAATATTTACTTTATAATTTCTACTATTGGGGGGTTTGAAATTAAAAAAAAATTTTTTTTTTTTTTTTTTTTTTTTATGTGAGGTGGCTTGAAAATGGATGTTTGGATTGTTGCTGCAGCAGCTGGTGCTGGGTATATAGCTAAGCATTTGAAGAATCTTACTCGGGTTAAACATTATTTTTCAGATTTATCTTCAGCTAATGCTAATTTTTATAGACCTGAATCCTCGCCAAATAAACGGGAGGTTCAAGACAAGAACTGCCCCTTCCCCAGTGTTTTACTGAAAAAGAAACTAGTAAAAGATGATTATATAGAAGAAAATAAGGCTTATCAAGAGGCCTCCTCAGCAGAAATGCCAGTACCATTGGATAACCTAATGATTTGCAGTACATCTTGCAATTCAAATTTATTACCTGGGATTTTGAACAATGAAGATGTGCTAGAGGATTGGGAATGCAGAGGACAGAACATTGATGAGGTTCATAGTGATTTATCACCTCAACTATCTGCAAGAGAAATGGGTTTTTCTTATGGTGTTGAGAGAAATAGAAGTAGACTTGGAACTAGACGAACTAGCAGGCAATTCATAAAACCCTTGACATCTCTTGAAAGTTGTCTCATGGCTCAGTTGTACAAGGGGCATTCGGAAATTGAAGAATACACCTTTAGTTCAATCCATTCGCCGCACACACCAACTGTTAGACCATTTGTAGTTACTGAAGGAAACAGAATAATCAGCAGACAGGTTTATGAATCTTTTAATTCTCCGACTGGAACAGGGAATTATAAGTTGCACAAAAGTACTTATTCCCGAAATGGGGAGTTTGTTCTAGGAATTCCCAGACTACCTAAAGTTGCCTCTATGGAGAGCCGCAGTAAAGCTAAATCTGGAAAGGAGAAGGTTACAAGATTAAGCAATTCTAGTAGGATGGTCAATGGAAATTACGATAACTCTTTGCAAGGTACTAATCTAGCTTGTATTTTTTTCCTTTCATTTTGACACGTGCTTATGAAAAATATATGCCAATCAAATTTGTGCTATATTGAGATAATGGCCATTGCTCTTAACACTAGTTTTACTTGATACTGTGTCACTAGGGGAATGTAAATAAGGCAACATTTTGTTTCATCAAGAGTTTCTATAATGTTTTGTAGTCTCTACTGCTAGTCCATCTTGAATTTATGTTTCATGGTGTTCAAAAAATAAAAGTTTGCAGCATGTGGTCCTCAGAGCTGAAATTGAAGATTTGTAAATAAAATGACCAAAAAAATAGTGATGACGATGATTGTATGGAATAATGTGTCATGGGTGCTTCAGCTACCTAAAGAATGCTGAATATAATCTCTGCCGAATTCAGCACATAATGGAATATAAGATTAATAATCTCATACGGACTAAAACTGAACCATTATAAACTCTCCTCTTTATATGAGGTTTAAGAGTCCAGGTTAAATGTGGATTTTCTTTTATTAACCACTGCTTGGTGGCCAGAACAACAACCATCAAAACCATGACATGAACTTTTCCAAACGTAATTTGGTCTGAAAGGAACTTAATTGCTGAATCTTGAAAATGTTAAAGGAAGAGAGTTCTGTCAAATGGCAGTGGTCTGATGGATTGTTTATTTTGTGTCGGGTACTGTTAAATGGACTGCTTATTTTGTTGGATGTGTTTTTTATTTCCGTAATTGAAGACATCGTACCGCTACTCTGATCATTTATAATTTTTCTTGTGGAAATATTTTACTTTTGCCATCGTGTGCTCAGACAGGTTGGTAAATTAGATTTGCTCTCTTATCATGCTGCTATAAGGTTTCTTGCCTAACATCCTCTATTTGATTAGGGTCATCTGGTGGAGCTCTTAATTTTTATCTTGGATTCTCTATTGGCATAATGTCTTCTTTCTTGGCACATAAAAGGGAAATAGAAAAACTGAATACCTTGTTAAGGCAGACTGAGAACCTGGTACAAGATCTTCAGGAAGAACTTGAGATGAAAGATTCATTGACTATGAAAGAGCTTGCTGTAGAAAATTATGAATCACAGGATAGAAACCGTGACTCTGATTACAGAGAGACTGTGCATGCATTCTCCCCTGAACAGAAATTGGACAACTCAACAGAGTATCATCATGAAGAATATGATGACCAGAAGGCGCAGAACATATCTTTGAGTAATATTGAAGCTGAGCTTGAAGCTGAACTGGAGAGATTGGAATTGAACATGAGTTCGTCTAAGTTGGAAAAGAAAATATCTAAATTAGCTGAGGTGAGCACGTTGTGCATTACCTTCCTCATATAAATGCATATGATTTGAATGCCTTCATGATTTGATCGCATGCCTTTGGCTTTCGGAAGCCAGCAACTAACATTTAGCTAAATGATGATTGCAAGTTACATCGTTAATTTATTAATGCTTCCTGAAAGTAATTTAATGTGATCGATTCAATTTGCTAGAACTGTTTTTAAACCAACTCCTAAGGATTCAGAGGGATTCTTTAGTCATTTTTCCTATTCTTTTTCTGATGCCCTAGGACTATTTCATTTTTCCTATTCTTTTTCTGATGCTCTAGAACTATTTCTTTCTTGTCTCGATTGTAAGATTGCATTTTCCCTTTCTGTAAAATAGCCATCACTTGCAAAATGTTGCGCTAAAATCAAAATTAAGGCCTTCTTGATGATTATTGCTATTAAAACATTCTCCAACTAAGTAACCCATATGCATTTACCCATTATGGTCTTGATCATTGTCAAATACTGATTGGACCACTTATCTTTGCATTTTCACTTGAACGCTTATTGATAGGGGACACAAGCTTTTATAATTTTATCTTGATGGTCACCTTTATATTTTCTTCTGATATCTCTTCTAGTTTTCCCCATTCCCATTCCCATTCCCATTCCCATTCCCATTCCCATTCCCATTCCCCTTTTACTTTTATTACTATTATATCAAGTGTTATGGGTGTGCCAGCTTGTGAATTCAAGAAAATTCGGTTTCTGACTGGGCAGTTAGTTAAGAATCTTAGAGTAGGTCTTAACAAACCAAAGCTTCAATTTAAATTTCTTAAGCTTTAGTGTTTGTTCAGAATGTCTAAATTCTTGAATCTGGGTTCTTACGACGTGACACACATGTTGAGGTTTGTGCCCGGTGGAGGAATAAATGGATTGCTTTTTGTATTGAAGTGTATATTTGACATTGTAAATATCTTCCCTTTTTTCCCCATCCGTTTCTTTTAGAGTTTTTATTTCTTTCCTTTCTTTTTTATTTGTGGATGGGGAATCGGGAATGGGGTTGATGCAAGTATTAAGCTAAAGCCTCACTGGGTTCTCCATTAATTCCTCAGTGGCACAAAAGTACTATGTAAAGATGGCTGTTTTCTCGTTATTTCGGCTAGGTAGTTTTGAAGTGAAGAAACCATTCGTTTCTTTGATTTTGTCCATTGATGTGACTTATTTAAAAAGACATTTTATGAATTTTGATGACAAGAAGGAAAGCATGTGCTTACATGTGATAACATTCTGCTGCTGTCAATGTTACGAACATGTGATAATCGGCTTTTTTAGTAGCATCTGTCCATCCCGGTCGAGCTATCTTGTAATGGTCTCTGGGGTCTTCGGTCGAATTTGCATTATTTCCTGTAGTAGTTCATCTGGTGAGTTCATCACAGTAGTCCCTATTTTACAATGAAAGTTGAATCCCATTATTTCACTTTTCAATAATTAACCTTTGTTTGGATACAGTTTGGTGCCATATTATCGATGGAAAATAGGGTACAGTAAATGTTTCATGATTTTATTTTCCCTGGTTAAATCACACTTCAGGTTGACAAAGATTTCATAGCGGATGTTGCTGAAGGGGAGTTCAGAGCCAACTCGTTTGACAAACCTTATGTTGATCGGGATGGAACTGGTTGCTCGACCCCATGCTCAGTCCATTACGCAGTCTCCCCAAGAGAACTGAGTTTACGGTTACATGAAGTCATTCAGTCCCAACTAGAAGAGCGAGTCAAGGAGCTCGAGACTGCACTTGAGAACAGTCAGAGGAAGATCAAATCCACGGAATCCAAGCATATGCCTTTTTGGAACGAGTTTTCAAACAATGGAGCAAGAACTTGTGAAGATTCATTCACAGAGGAGCCTGTGATCATCAATTTATCAGGGGAAGCTCTAGCTGCATACAATGAGGCTTATGATGAGTTTACAAAGGTAACTGAGTCGGATGAAGAGGACGCGCCATCTGGGCTCGAGGAGAGCAATGATCAGGAGTTCTTTCAGGAAGGGCAGCAGGTTCTTAATGGGGGCTCAAATCGTTACACGCAAAATTCATTTGCCAATGGAAGCCCGCCATTGTTATCGAATTATCAAAATGACGTCATATGTTGCGGCACGGATGAGAATGGTGATAGTGAGGAAGAGATGGAAAGGTTGTTGATAAGGCAAATCGTAGAGAAAGCTAGGAAAGGCTCTCCTGTAATTTTAAACGCTCAAAGAGCATTGTCTTCAACTGATGAATGATGCTGAAATTAAAAAAATATAAGAGAGAGAATTTGCAGGCCATAGATTTGGGAAGAATTTCTTGCCTTTATTTGTTTTTCTGAACTGTTTTTGAGCAAGATGTCTGTTCTTCCTAATAGGCCACGCCCCATTTGTTGCCCCATTTATTTATTTATTTTAATTTCAAATTATGTTGTTATTAGAGAATAAAATATAAATTCAAAATTTTAAAATTCAAAGTAAACACTTGAAATAAACAATGTTAAAAATTAAACAATTTCAAATAAAATTACGTTTTGACTAAATTTTATTTCTTTTGTAATTAATTAAAATTTTACATTTGTATTTTGTTATCTAATAATAATATAACTTGAAATTAAAAAAAAAAAAAAATTATTTCACAGGGCGGGGGCGGATTGGGGTGCCCCATCCTCCCCCGCCAACCCATCGAGGCGGGTTTTTTTGCCCCATTCGGGGCGGGACGAGTTTTTTTGCCATTACTAGTTCTTCCTAATAACTGCGGTGTCCTTCTTTAACAATTAAGTCACTTATTACCATCTTAAGTCAATGAAAGGGACCTTCAAAGAAGCTACTTCCATATGTGCCTTCGATTTTTGGCTATCTTGTTCTTGAACCCCCTGCTGAGCTATAACCATGCCCAAAGAAAAAGGATTATCTACTAATACATACATAAAGGGTTACATTCAAAAATATAGAGGGAAAAAATTGGATGAAAAAGTTGACTACATTTTGAATTAGTTAATGATAAAATGACATATGACATTATATAATTCATTACGTAAAGTTTGATGTAACGTAGTAAAATCCAAAGAAAAATGCTTACTGTAGATCAATTAAGCTATTTGTACATTAACTTTGACATTTTTGTTGATGAATGGGTGACGTGACAGTATTGTGTTGGTTGAATAAAATGTGTAAGATATGAAAAACGAAGTGGTATTGTGCCAAGCGTAAATTCATTAAGCCAAAGCGTAAACTAATATATACATGTAGCAGATTGATTGTAGATAGAAAAATACGGAATAAGTAAAATGGATGATGGTCCCGCTTATGTAACAACTAATACAATAGCTAAATTTTGGAGAATTTTGATGGGCATCTCTAAAACAATAAATGTGCTCGGGCAAACAAAGTGTAAACGTAATCCATGCTCAAGATCCTCATTTTAACTTCTAGATGTTCGAAGATTGGTGGACAGACTAGGATTTTGGACTTCAATTTAGGTGAAACCTCACTTGACAATGACATCCCACCATTATTTTAGACATAAGGTGGGCACCAAATGGCAAAAAATCAATGACCAGTAAATATGATTCGCAAGCCAATGAATACTTTTAATTTACAAATGCCTTTGTAATTTACAAATCCCTTTGCTCGGGTCCAATTCTTGCTCATTTCCACAAATAACTTTGAAAAATCAATAATGCTACTTGTACATAATAATTTATATACAAATACGGTGTCAAAAAGAGAGTAAGAAGCTTTTTTTCATTTTTTTTCTTTTTTTATTGAAGAAATTCTGACCCAATTATATTTCTTCATATCATGTGTACGTAAACCCATTATGTACCTGTACCACAACCGAAGAAAAATGCATTCGATGGACGACATAAGTGATGAACAACAGATTACATTAATGCGCGCGCACAAAAAAATTGTTACGAAACACCACAATAAACATGCATTATGTTTCCCGTAAAGCAATAAAAGTATCCAGACAGTTCAGAGGGACTTCAATCAATAAACAAAAAGAGTCGAAAATTAATAGAACATCCATTTCTCATATCAAATGCATTAGTCAGGATGCAGTTACCCAGAGCAACCGTACTAGCTCCTTCTATCAGCATAATCATTAGGGGAATCATCGTCATCTCTGTAGTTTCCTTCCACGGGTTCATCTTGGCTATAACTGTCAGCGGCACCTTCTGAGCTTTTGCTTTCTTCGGCATCAATCTTAAACTGACCCACTTCGCTGCTTACAAAATTGCTGTCAGTACCCACGTTATTGTCAGTGAAAAAGTTGTCACTGCCCCCACCACCTCCAGCAACACCAAAATTCTGACCATCACTGCCAGGTAGATTCCCGCCACCATAACTAGTATTGCTCGCATAGCTGCCACCACTACCACCTACAGCGCCACCAAAATTCTGACCATCACCACCATAACTTAGATTCCCACCAGCAGTGTAGCCATCTTCACCGCTTGCAGCATTGTCAAAGTTCCCCCCGTAGCCGGCTCCACCACTGCCGCCACTACCAAAGTTCCCACCGTAGCCACCTCCACTTCCATAGTTCCCTCCATAGCCACCACCACCACTACTTCCATAGTTCCCTCCATAGCCGCCGCCGCCGCCTCCATAGTTCCCTCCAAAGCCGCCGCCGCCTCCATAGTTCCCACCATAACCACCACTTCCGAAGCCTCCACCACCTCCATAACCACGAGTCCTTTCATTTGCATAAGCCACCCTTACTCTACGACCATGAAGATCCTAAAGGAATGTCGCAATAGAATATTAATCAAAAGGTATGACCAAACAAAAATAAAGCCAAACCCACAAGAACATCTAGCATACAACATTCGATACCTGTTGATCCAAGGCCTGGATGGCAGCAGATGCATCCTCAACAGTAGAAAATGTAACAAAGCCAAATCCTCGAGATCTGCCAGTATCACGATCAACAATCACCCTTGCTACAAGAAATGTCAGACTTATCAGCACTCAGCATTAATTGAAGGAGGTTTCCGACTTTATACTCTACTTCACTCACAAAACAAGGTAATGGCCAAATAATCAATCGCAGGTAAATGATTGCCCAGTAACCAAGAGAAAGAATAATATTTTAAAGATTCTCCAACTCGTTTAGAATAATTGCTGCAACAAACTGCAACAAAAAAATTCACAATTCGGTCCAACAATCAAGTTCTATAACCAACGCTGCTGCCTTTCCTTTTACAAAAGTCCTGAGAATAATTCATACTTTTGCGGCTGTGCCAATGTCAAAAAACATGTATGATACAATTGGAAACTGTAATTCACTAAACTTAACTGTTCAAAGAAATAAAATGATCACCTAAAAACAAGAAAAAACCTAAACATGTAAGCAATAGTAGAATTCAAGGTAAATCCCAATGTATACAATTTCCAACATAAATAAATTGGATTGTATACACACTTAAGTCCACTCAAAATTTTTTCAAATTCAGTTAATACAGTGTTCTGTAAAACAGTGACTTTACAGTATATATATTTCATTAAATAATCATATATAAGAAACGATGCAAATATTCAAGACTACAAACTAGCAAAAAGCACAATTTAACTATAAATCTCAACAATAAACCTTTATAAGAACTCTTTAACTTTGCTCAACAATTATACAGTGCTTACATTTCAATCAATAATCCATCCAAAAGACAAGCAAGTACACAAAAGGAAACTTTAAGTGGGTTCAATTATTCTTTTAATTAATTTTCTTCAATAACCCGTGACATGAATGGCACAAATTATGCCAAACTATCACATGATCATCAATAACAAGCTGGGTACAGTTAAAGTACCGTCGGCAACTTCTCCATATTTACTGAAAGCCTCTCTCAGACCTGAGTCATCTGTGCTGTATGAGAGTCCTGTAAAAACCACAAGATCATGGAATGTTGATACTAATCTGATATCCAAAAAAAAATATACTCAACTATATTTTTAAAAAGAAAAACAAACAGAGTATTATACCTCCGATAAAGAGTTTTGAGGTTGACATGCATCTTATTGCTTGAAAGATAGAGGGTTGGGATGTTGAGATTTCCTGACTGACGTGATTACTCACAGTTCGACTTAGTATATTACCAGCTTTTCTAAAGAAGGCCATTGCTCTGACCTAAAACATGGGACAGATATTAACATTGTCTAAGAAATTCAATATGCAGAGAGCCTCTGTGAACCTGCTTTAGATTCAGAATTCTCAGGGCCAAAAACTATGTCAGTTCTGTCCTATTAAAAGAATCAACTACCATGAACATTAGGAATAAAGCAAGAAAGCACGATGATTTACATTAACAACCAGACTCAAATCTTACTGAAGAACATTTATACAAGATTTATTTTCACCTTATTGACATATAATTCATCGAACTTCTTTTATTTTAATTTTGTTAAAATGAAAAAAAAAAGAAAAAAAAGAAGGCAATTTCATCTACTTGCATTTCAAGTACAAATACTTATTTCTTGCACAATACCCCGTACACGCACAAACACGTAAATAGAAAATCTACCCTTATTTTCAAATTTCCATATTACAAGGCAGTAAAAAAAGCATATCTTTCGCTCATAAAAGTTTCAAATATATGTACCAGAATATTTAAATTTGTTTTATATTCAAATTTCCATGTTACAAGGCAGTAAAAAAAAAAAAAAAAAGGCATATCTTTCGCTCATAAAAGTTTCACGTATATGTACCAAAATATCTTAATTTTGCTTTATTTCTTTCTTCCTCAGATATTAACAGACTCATTTCATATAAAAAAATATAAACAAAAAGATTAATCACCACTAATCAAACCGAAAATAGTCACTGAAAAACCACTAAATAGAACAAATCCAATCTCATAAAAAATTGAAATTTCTATTGCATAGTAATAATCAAGAAGAATTAGGGAAAATCTTACTTTTGAAGGGCTGTATCAAAAACTCAGAGAACACACGAGGGTTTATCGTGTGACGAGAAAACGGATTTTAGGGTTTATACGGTGACGGTGTATATAAGAATGAGATGAATGAATATTCACCGTCGATCTTACGTCGAGAAATGTGGGCCGTCGATGAGAGCCTCGGATAGATTTTATAGAAGACTGGATACCAATCAACTTGATTTTAACACATGGATGGCAACGAATAAAAATAGTGTTTATGGCTCCCATTTACTTATTTTTATTTATTTATTTAAATATAATTATATTTAAATGAATAAAAATAATAATAAAGATCAGTGTTCTAGCGTCGTTGATGTTAAATAGTTGGAGATTAGGAATAGATAAGATTCCTTTTAGTTTTGATTCCAAGAAAATCGAATCATGCCATGAAAAAATAATTTTCTTTTTTATAATTGAAAGATACATAACT